GGGGGGGGGTGTCTTTGGTGGGACTGGATGAAGTCCGGCTCCCAATCTCACAACAATCACGCAGGTCTGTTTGCTGTGGAAAAGTCATCAAACTACATACTCTCAAGGTTTCACACCCATGATTTGTGCACTTTTCTGCATGTACATTTTCAAAAACAAAAAGTTTATTTTAAAAATAACCACCCCTACTCAGTCGGTTGAGCGTCCGACTTCGGCTCAGGTCATGATCTCGCGGTTTGTGGGTTCGAGCCCTGCGTCGGGCTCTGCGCTGACAGCTGGGAGCCTAGAGCCTGCTTCGGATTCTGTGTCTCCTTCTCTCTCTGCCCCTCCCCTACTCATGCTCTGTCTCTCTCTCTCTGTCTCTCTCTCTCTCAAAAATAAATAAATGTAAAAAAAAAATTTTTTTTTTAAATAACCACCCCTAAATGGGAGAGACTTATTTATTCACAGGGACACAGATGCCGATGCAATTTACCGAGTACACGTTCATTCAAGTGTGTGTTACTGAAATCAGAGAAACAGTGGCTGCTTCTCATTATATATTTGTTCTACCGACTACTCAGGGCACCGCTACAGTTAGAAGAGGTTACAATGTCTAGCATTAGAAAGGGATCTTCACACAGTGTGTTTTCTGTCCACCCAGCAGGTTTTCTGAAACACTCACTAGGCCCTGGCCCCTCCTAGTCAAATCTTATGGGGCCTGGGGACTTATGTGCTGACTCACCCCCTCCTTCACCTGTGTGTGAACATGAGGGGAAGGCCCTGTCTCCCTGACCTTGGCAGGGGGTAGCCTTCATGCATCTTTAATAGTAACCGGCCCAGGGCAGGCCCCAAACGGGCAGCCGATGTCCACCATCGTTCATCGGCCAGGACGGTTGGTGTCAGTTTGGGTAAACAGGGATGGAAAAAGTAGAAGTATACAGCCCCTTTCCCACACTGCCCCCCACCCCCAGCCTTGGGCTGTGCCACCCCTCCCCACCCCCCAGCAGAGGGCAGGAGCTTGCCCTACTTTCTTCAAGACCATCGCCACCCACATACCTCCACACGCTTCCCGAGTGGTGGGCAGAGGGAGTGAGCTTTGCCTCCTCTCGCTGAGAAGTGGCCACGAGAGCTTCCCCTCCTCAGCCCCAGGACCTACTGCCAGCCCTGACCTAGCCACTTCCTTTTCCTGCCTTGGCAATGGGTAGGGGGATTTGTGCCGTGGGCACAGAAGCAGTGCCTGCTGCCCCAGGGGGCTTCTGGAAACTGGGGGGTGCAGGGTGAGGCCCTGGCGTCTGGTCTCCCGGCCCTTACCCAGGCCCTGCCACAACCCGCCAAGGATGTGAGCAGGTAAGCCACGGTCTGCCACCTCTCACCCCAGCCCCCAGCAGGGACAAAAGATGGAGGGACTCTCAGAAGCATCTGTGACCAGGAGCCAGCAAGCCTGGTGTCTCACCTGGGGCCAGTCCCTCGCCCTCTCCAAGACTGTTCTTCATCTGCCCAGTGTAGACAATATCACGCTCTGGGGCCGTGAGAACTCAGTTCATTAGGGGAAGGGAGAAGCACAACAGTGAAATGGAGCACTGCCTGAGGGCCTAGACTCTAGGAACCTGCAGTAGGATCGTGGGGGGGGGGGGGGGGGGGGCCAGGCAGGGAAAGGAGATAGAAGGGTCTTCAGCTGGACTGGGGAGCCAGCACCCCCTTCTTCAAGAATTAGAGAACAGTAACCCTATCCACACCTCTCCCCCTCCACGGCTGAGTGAAAGGAAATCAGAGTGTGCCCAGAGATGGGGCTCCACCTAGCACCGGGAAGATTTCAGACTCTGCATGCAGCAAGTGCTCAACTAATACTCTGGAGGAAAGCTTGTGAGTTAAGGAGGTCAGGCCTCTCTCCACAGAGGCTATCTTTAGTCCAGTGACTTCTCGACCCTCACCTCCTTCTCAGGCTAGGAGGAATTAACATACAGCACAAAAAAAGAAGATCAGACTTTGGGAAGAAGAGCCAGACGGTGCTGGAAAAACGCAGACAAGATCGTGGAGTGCCTTCGGGAAAGGTCGGCCCACGCCTCATCCGCGCCCTCCCCAAGCCTCCTTCCGTGCCCCTCAGTCTGCTCAGCTCCTGGCCAGCTCCTCTCCTCCACCCTTGGAGGGGCTCCCACCAACTTGCAGAACATCACCACCACCCACCAAATTCTCGTGCCCCTGCCCAAGGTCTCCACCCAGCCTCCTTGGGCAAAATTTCAAATTCCAAAATAAAAACCCTCTGATAACGAGCCCCAGCCGGAAAGACTGATGCATTTTCCTATTGTTAAAGTATTTTTAGTCGCAGGCTCTGGATTCATTTAGAGACTCACGTTCAGAAAGGAGGAGGGGGATTCTTTTTTTTTTTTTTTTTTTTGAGAACTGAGAAGGAAGGCCCAAGAGCCTCCCACTTAAGGAGCTGCCACTTCTTCCAGGCCGGGCTGCAGCCCCTGGCCGGAGGCCCAGGGAGCGTGTTTGTGGCAAGATGGTTGGTGCAGTTGCCAGACCTCGTTCCAGCCGTGCTTCGCAGGCACCAAGACCAGCTGGGAGGCCAAGAAAGGAGAGCGGGGCAGGGGCTGAGGGCTCAGGGAAGCCGTCCCAACCAGTTGTGGCAGAGAGGTGGGGACCCTACTCAGGGACCGATGCCGAGGCTCCCCGATGGACACCTAGCTCATTCCAGCGTCCCTCCCCAGCCCGAGCAGCCCAGTACCTCACCCAGGCTGGGTCAACAGGACAGGAGGACTGAGATCGTGCTGGAAGTCTCCAAGGAAGGAGAGAGACAGAAGCAGCACCTGTCTATTTCCACACCTCCCAGTGCCAGGTCACAGCGTGCTCCCAAGTACAGCTCCCACCACCATCCAACTCAGGTCTAGCTTTACTCTTACTCCTCGGGAAGGCCTGCCACCCTTGCTTCCTCCTTCACACCCCTCCTCTCAGGGCCGAAGAAACCGCAGTGTAGATCGTCACAATGGAAAGAGACCCAAACAGCCCAGCTCCCGTGCCTCAGTTTCCCCATCCCTACGACTCACCAGCTATCTCTTCACGATCTGCTTAGACTCTCAGAGGTCCTGGACAACTGCACCAGGCGAGAATCCTGGGGTTGGTTAGGGGCTCTTCCTGGCGGCCTCGGGGAGCCCTGCGGGAAGAGACGGGACTGCCCAGTCAGCCCGGCCTGCCCGGCCAAGGCTATGCACCAGCTGAGCGGACTTAGGACGTGGAGCTGTCTCCAAGCCAGCTTGTCCTCCTCTGTTTATATAGCCGAAACCAGAGCCGGCCTCTGGGGACAGAGGGAGCTGCCTCGGGGCCCTCTTGGCTGAAGCCTGACTTTGGCCCAGGTCAGCAAGAGCCCAAAATAGTCAGCTGACGGGAGCCCCGGCGTGAGCGTGACCCTGGGCCCATGCCCGGGCCTGGCAGACAGGTGCCCACGTCACAAGACCAGCGGCTCTAGCACTCATGGGGCCCCGGCTGGCAGCCCCTCAGGGTGGCCCTGGCATTGTATAAGGCATGGGGGTTCCACCCAGCCACCACCATCACCCCGACAACAAGGTGAACACGAGGAATTCTGCCCATGGGGGCCGCTCTGTACCCACGGGAAGGCCAGGCGCTCAGGAGGCGGTCTGAGCTGATGGTAGAGGTGGGGGCCGGGTTGGGGGAAGCCATCTGGCCCGCTGCTGTCATCATCACTCACGTGCCTCCCCGGTCCAGATCCCTGGCTGACCAGGGACACCTGCCTCTCCCACTTACAGTAACTCCTCTCCCTGCCCCCAGCCCAAGGTTGGTGGCACAGAGCCTGCGGCCAGTAGACGGCCAGGTGCACACCCAGCTCAGCCTCTGGAACAGGAGGCCCTGCTTCCTAGGGCTTCCCCTCCTTCCACCCAGGCTCAGGCCGGACACCTCCTCCTCCCCTGTCGCAGCCACCTCTGTGGGACTCCCTGTGCCCTGAACACCAACTCCACATGCGGCAACAGTGTTTGGGGGGTTGGGGGAGATATGAAACCAGCTCCTACTTCATCCAGGGATCCCTCGAGGCCTGAAGGGGGCTGTGGCCTGGAGATAGCCCCCTGTTCTGGGGAAGGAAGAAGGGCATCACAGATCCCTGGCCGGGGTGCCAGGCTGAATTTCAGCTCTCCCAAGTAAACATGGTAACCAGGCCCATGGTGCCCTTGGCCCCATCCTAGTATCTGAGATCCCCAGGGAAAGGCCTGGTGGAAATTTCATTCCCACTCTCCATTCTTCACCCCTAGATCTGCTTGTACCTTCTCCAGAAGTGTCCTCAGGCAAGGAAAGTAGGTCCTCCACCAGCCAACCAGACCTCTGGGCTCGCCCAGACTCCAGGAGACCTTGATTCTAAGTTTGGCTCTATATGCCCTCACTATAGGATCTTGAAAAGTCGCTTCTCGCCTCCGTGACTCCGTTTCTTCATCCATAAGGGGAGGAGGTGAACTAGATGGCCTAGAATCCCTCTGGCCATGGCCACAAGTCTGAGATTTTCCCCCGTGGGGATGCTGTGTGAATAGCAGAGGGCCTGTCCTTGCCCTCTGCCAGTAAGATCTTCCCCATTCATAGAAGCACCTTCCCATACCAGACCCCACAGGCCTGCCATACAGGCCTGCCATAGTAGGAAGGGTGTGGTCATCCCCTTTTGCGGGGGAGATGATCCCAGGCTTCCCTTTGTGCATTCCAGTGTGCATGCCCTAGAAACAAGCCAGCTTCCCATCCCCCATACCTGCCCCACCCCCCAACCCCCATGCTCCTAGCCTGGCCTTGAGCTGGCCAATCCCACCCCATCAGCTTCCTGGAACCAGAACGTGTTGCCTTGGCAACGGCGGCCACCTACCCACATCCCTGCCCCTCTCCTCCCACACCAGCCCATGCCCCCAGGCCCAGAGCCCCGCAGCCTATCCTGCTGAGAAAGCTAGGCTTCCCCCTTCCCCACCCCCACATTGCCCCCATCACTGAAGAAATCAGATCTCCCCAAGCAGAGCAGAACCTCACCCACCACCTCTGCAGGGCTTCCCCCTCCATCCCCCAAACCACATCCACTTAGGGCAGCTCCACACCCACCTCTGTCCCCCAACCTCACCTGCTTGAAGGCCCCAGGGGTGTACAAAGGACAACAGTAGAGCACTCACCAATCTGGATGAACCAACAGACCTCAGACAACACTCAACCATCCCTTGTGCCTTCAGGGCCTGGCAGGCGGAGCCGGGATGCCTGAGAGGGGCCAGGGCTGGCCTCTGTCCATGGTGGAAGCCTACGGAGGGAGAGTCCGTGTGAGTGAGGAATAACCAGCCAGCAGGGACACTCCCTGGAGGCAGCACAGCCAGGAAACACAGGAGTGGGAATAGAGGCAGGACCCGGGCCGTGAGAGCTGACAAGCCAGCCCAAGGATTTTCCTGGGCTGGGCATCAGAACCTGGGGGCACACACCCTAGGCAAACAGCTCTTGGGGATGTGAGGTGCGACCAGGAACAGCTGACATTGTGTGGGACATCTCAGGACCATGGGGACACATGCCAGCCCCCAGCCCCTCAGCCTCATGCCTCACTCCTGGATTGGGGTGGGGGGTGGCTTTAGTCCAGCACTCAGCCCTGATGTGCACAAAAGGGCACTTCGTAGGCAGAGAAAAGAGAGCTATTGTGAGGATAGAGTAAAATAACCTCTCTCTCCTTAAGGGGCTCCAACTTGGCCCCCAAAGCCTCAGACAACCCCACAGGGCAGGGGCTCCATCACTCCATCTCCAGGCAGCCAGCCTTCCAACCAGAGCAGTGGGGACTCCCAGGAAATATTCTGTGAAGGCACTCCAGTCCCCAGACAGGAAGGCCCAGCCTGGAGCAAAGAGGTTAAGGGCCCAGATGCCAGATCCCAGATGCCTGTGTTCAAATCATGGCTCTATCACTTATGATCTTGGGCAGGTCACATAACCTCTCTGTGCCTCCTGTTCTTCAACTGTGAGAATGACACTCCGTAGTTGTCTCTGATATTAACAACCACAAGGCTATCACAGAGCTTAAAATGAGTTCATACGTGTACAGGACATAGAACAATGCTGGATACGTATACACATGTATGTGCTATCACTGTTGGGAAAAATCAAACGATGACGAATCAAAGCCAGCCCCAGACTCTGCTTCCTACTCCAAGCCACTTCTGGGCACCTGGCCTCCACTTCCAGAGCCAAGTGTGAGTACCACCCTTCCAGCCTCTTTAAGCTCTTGCCTGCCCCCTCGCTGGTGCCAAAGCCTCCCTCAACCAGGGTACCCCAGACCCCACTTCTTTTTCCGCCCTAATTCCGCTTTCTCCTCTCTCAGCTGAGTCCCAGAGTGAGAGTAGGAGCAGGTGCTTCAGGCCAAGATGAGGTCTGGGAGAAAGGAAGTAAATGTCTCCATGATGGGAGGTGGAGGGAGTAAGGAGGAGGAGGGCCCAGAGGGTGGGCAATGGGCTTCCTGGCCTTCCTGACCTCTGCCCCAGGGTCCACGGGCTAAAAGGAGCTACTCTGGACCCTGGTACTCAGATTCTCCTCTTACAGAGCTACTAGAACTCCCATGTTCCTGTGGGTAATGGAGACCAGGCTGCAGGAAAGAGAGGGGGGCAGTCTAGAAGTCTGGAGGGCTTCCAACCCCATACTGAAAGCAAAATCAGGCTTAAAATCAGGCAGTGAGCCACGAGCCACGGAAGGTCCAAGAAGGAGCAAACCAACATCTCTGGACCCCAGGAGGTTCCTCTGGGGGAACAGATCAAAGTCCATTACACTCAACACAGAGCAGAGGGCAAACCTCTGAGTATGCCATAGGACTGGGCAGGTGTGGAGAAGAGAGGGATGTCCCCTTAAGGGAGTGGGAGCATCAGGCCACCCCGCAGGACCCAGCCCTTGCTCCCCCTCCTTGCTGTGCTCTAAGCACCTGGGCTTTCTTTCCCCAGTCAGGGCCTTTGCACTGGCTGCCTCCTCTTCCAGGAAAGTCACTGCCCCGGTATGTCTGCCCCTTGTCACCAGTCAGGTTTCCAGTCCCATTCCATCTCCTTGGAGAGCCTCCACCCCCACCCCCACCGCATTAACCTGTTCGTATTATCACCATAGGGCTAACGCTGTTCATCTGTTCACGTGTCTATCTCGATCGCCGCAGTCTGCAGTCTCCAAAACAGAGCTCAGCACTAGTAGGTACTCGGTAAGTATTTGTGGAATGCAGGAGAAAAGGATTCACACAGGCCTGCACCAGAGCTGGGCTGGGAGAAGGGGCCAGCTAGCTTGGAAGGAGGTGAGGAGAACACTGTCGCTAAGGAACTGCCCTTTCCACTTGAGGGCGGATCCAAAGTCTGAGGGCTCTTCCCAATGCTGAGCTACAACCTGGACTCCAAGAGCCCCAGCCCTGGATCCCAGCTCTGCCCGGGCCCATCCAAAACCTCCTTCTCCTCCTTCCTATCAAGTATTTCAGTCAGCTAACTAAACTCCTCCTTGCCCCCAGGACACGGCTGACACACCAAGCCGTGCATTGGCCAAGTCCCCACCCAGAAATGGGCACATTGCTCATTATCAACAAGAACAATGGCAGACAATATTTACTGAACACCATGTGCTAGATATATCACTAAGCCTTTTACATGCATTTTCTCACTTCAGCCTCCTCACTACGAGGAGGAGATTATTGTAGGGAACATTTTACCAGTGGAGAAACTAAGGCACAGAAATGTCAAGTAACTTGCCAAAGGTCACACAGCTAGGAAGTGGCAAAACTGGGATTAGAAAGAATCCAGGGAGCCCAACCAGCGAGCCCAGGGCCAGGCATCCGTCTTCCCACCTTGGGATTCCTCTGGTGGGTAGAGGCCTTAGATTGCACAAAGCAGTTTGGCAGCCAACATCGGAAAGCAAGTGAGAAGCTCCCGGCCCTGGGTTGCTGGGCCTCGGAGCCAGGTGCTAGGCCTGAACCCCTGAGCTCATTTTTTTCACTCCAGCACAGGCCCCAACATTTATAATCAGTCCTGTTCATCTTGTCAGTCTTGGGCCATCCTTCAGCCTGGCTGCCATCATTCCGAATCTTGATTTTATCTTGCTGTGCACTTGTCATTCCCCTGGGCCCTAGGGCTTTCCAGTCAGCCGGCTCCCCTTTTAAGTCTCCATCCCTCGCTGATCTAAACATTCACTTGAAGTGGGTGTCGGACCACTGCTGTAGCCGCCACTGGAGGCCCTGCCCGGGCTGTTATCTGCCCCCTAATCGATCGGCACCCTTTGGGCACAATGGTTGCTTAGCCACCTACCTCTGCCCAGTCTTCCTTTTCCCCTCGGCATGCCCAGAACTCTAGCCCCCCAACCAAATGAAGCCTCCACCGTAAACCATTGTAAATGCCACTTCTGCACCACTTCTAATCCCAGGTCCTGGCGCCTGACTCGAGGAGACCCTCTCCGGCCTCGATTTCTTCACTCGGTCCCACAAAGGGGCCGCCCCGGGCATTTCTGGTCCCGGTCCCTCCCCTCCCGAACTCCTGGAACCCATTCCCCGCAGCCGGGGGCGGGGAGGGGGGGGGATTGGAAGGAATTTCTCCGGCCCGGCCATCTCCAGCGCCCCTCACGGGCCAAACCCCACCCTTGGCGGGCCAGGGAGAAAAAGCGTTGGCCGCCGCACTCGGGGGGGGGGGGGGGGGGGCTGAGTCTGGGTCAGCAGGTTCCGCAGGGAATCCAGTCCCTCCCCGCCCCACACTCCCACGATCCCCAGCAGGACTCCCAGCGTGGCTCCCAGGCCACTCCACCGCATAGGCGGAGACCCCATTCTCCCCGGGCAGCTCCCGGAGACCCCCTCACCGCTCCCCACCCGGGCCCCCTCACCTGGCCGGTCGAGCTCTGCTCGCCTCTGCACCCCCGCCTTCCGGGGTCGCGCACCGGCCAGCGGGGAGCTGCTCCGCACCGCAAGGCGCAGGGGCGCCCATGCCTGGAGGCCGGGGGTCGCGGGCGCCGAGCGGGGCCCCCTACCAGTTCCGCCGCCGCCGCTGCGAGCTCCTGCAGCCACGCGGCCGCGGCTCCGCGCCCCCC